GTGACAAAAGGCTGGGGGCAGCTTTGGGACCCCTGGGTGGGCTGCATCCCTCCTGTGCACTGGGTTTGTCCCGCTGTGGGGCTGCAAACTCATAGTGAGACCCCGATCTGTCGCATTTCTGTATCTGCCCCACGTCCCCAGCCCGGGTATGGGGTGGGTCTCAGGGCACTGTTGTGTGGGGTTTGTGGGCTCTCACGTTGTGTGCTGTCTGCTGCTGGAAGAAACTGGGGACAAACCCCACATCCCTGATAGAAACAGGTTTGGGGGTAGAAAGGACTTTGCTGGGTCTCCATCTTCTCCGAGCTGTCGCTTTGGGATTGGAGGGTAAAAGGGTGTCCTGCTGGCATTAGGGATGTGTGGGGTGGATCTGGGTCACAGCACGGCCCCATCGCAGTGCCGGGGTTGGGGGGGGAGGGGGGGGAACACAGCCTGGACCCGCTCCCCCCACTGCCTGGGGGGGCTGGTTGGGAAGCACCTGTGGATTCGGAACTGTCCCATGCCTGGCACAACCTGTTCCACAGCGGCTTAGGAGTAATTAACGGCCCCATTGTTCGAGGGTCGGGGGAGGGGGGAGGATTTTTTATTTATGTTTAATTTCCCTTGTTTCAAAGGCCGATCCCTGTGGAGGTGTCACCGTGCACAGCCAGGCAGTGCTTGCCAGCATTGCTCCGGGGCACTTCGACGTCCCCATCGCTCACAGCTCCATTCCCCAGACAGGGCTGACACCGGCACGGGTGCGCCGTACCTTATGGTGATGCACCTCCAGATTTCTAGGGAAAAGCAACAAGGGAGAGGGAAGGGGGAAAAAAGGCACCCGAAGCTGCGAGCAAACAGTTCCCACCCAGGGAAGGCAAACAGCGGCCCCCGCCCTGCGAGTACAACGTGGTGCTTAGGGTGGTTGCTCTGGGGCCACGTTCCCAAACGTCCCAATCCTCCCTGTGCCCATCTGGAGGGCTGGCAGAGGAGGGGGAGGGCAGAGCATTGGGGGTCCCTCCTGTTGTGTTGCTGGAGTTGTGCAGCTGTCGCCGCGTCCCTTTGTGCCGCAGCAGCGTGGGGCTGCATGGAAGGCGGATCTGCTAAAGCTCTTCTTTTCATCCGCAGCAGATAAAGGGGAGGTTTGGGAACGGGTGCCATCACTCAGGGAAACTGCTGGGAGAAGGGGGGAGGCAGCCCCTTTATCCTTCTCCTCCTTGTCATCGCTGCCTTCGCTCAGTGCTGTGGTGCCAGGTGCCATACGGCCGTGGGGCTGTGCCATCCCTGACTGCAGGACGTGGCTGGTGCTCGTGGTTGGTGCCCAGTAGGGCCGTTCCCGATGCTGTGTGAGCACCGTGCTGGGAGCAGATCTACTCCCAGGCTGAGCGGTGCTGTGCAGCTCAGTGCTGCCCCTTCCCTTCGTCCCCATTCCCCTCGGAGAGCACCAGTCCCCTGGATCCCTCTCCTGGAGCTCTGTCAGCGGATGGAGTCATTCCATGCCACAGGAATTCTGCAGACTCATCCTCCTGAGCCCTCAGTGGATGGGGACGGACAGATGGGAGCAGCTTTTATTGCAATAGAATGAAGGGAAAGTCGTGTTCCAGGGGTGGCCAAAGCCATTTGGCCCAGGGGAGCCATCCCTGGTGCCACCGCTGCTGGGACGCGCTCAGCTGGTCTCTCCATGCACATCGCTGTGCCTGCAGGGTTTAGGCATCCCATATCCCACATGTAGGGGCTTTGGGGGCTCAGCCTCACCCAGGACTCCCCAGTGCCCCATACCCAGACTCCATCTCCCACCCCAAAACCGGGACCATCCCCATCACAACCCTAAGCCAACATTCCTCAGAGGGCTGCCCAGGCGCTGTGCTTCTCTTTGTAGGATTTTCCCCCTCTAACAGGCTTAGCACTGCTTTGTGCCTGAGTCTCTCCTCCTCCCCCCCATCTCAGGTCTGAGCACTAGAAGCATGGGCAGCCCCAGCCCCCCCAGCACCCCTTTCTGCCTGCACTACTTCGACATGCTCTACTCGGAGGACGTCGCGTGGGCTGCCAAAGGGATGGGGGAGACCTCCCAGAGCGGCGTCCAGGGGGGGCGAGGGGAGGTGAAGAAGGAGCCGGAGCAATGCCCCATCATCGACAGCCAAGGTTTGGGTCTGGGGGGCGATGGGGAGCTGCAGGGGGGGCTGCCCTTGGAGGAGCACTCGCTGGAGCAGATGCAGAGCATGGTGGTGGGCGAAGTGCTGAAGGACATCGAGACGGCGTGCAAGCTGCTCAACATTGCTGCAGGTGGGTGCATGCAGACTCCCCCTCTCCCCCCCCAAAAAAAGAAACCTATAAAATGCCCCCAAACCCATCTGATCACCCCCAGACCCCCAAAAATGGCCTTTAAAATGTTCCAAAAACTGCACAACTGCCCCAAGGTGCCCCCTATGCTCTGATACCCCCAAAAGACCCTGAGACACCCAGAATGCCCCCAAGCCCCTTTAACGCCTCCAGAAAGACCCAAACACACTCTGAGATACCCAAACTGCCCCAAGCAGCACCCCCCTAGGTACCCTCAAATCCAAAAATCTGCCAGGACACCCCAAATGACCCAAAACACCTAGATGTGCTCTGAAACAGAATGCCCTAAATGCTCTGAAACCATTCTGATACCCTAAGATCACCCCAAAGTGCCCAACCTACCCCCAAACCTCCTGCAACGCTCCTTAAACACCCCCCAAACACCCCTCAAAATGAGGAGAAAGGACTCGCTCATCCTCCCCAGTCTTGGCCCCACGGGGGTGGATGAGCTCAGGGTACCCCCGGCCCTATGGGGTGACGCTGCTCTCACTGCCCCCAACCCCAGACCCCGCAGACTGGAGCCCTGGAAACGTGCAGAAGTGGATCTTATGGACGGAGCATCAGTACCGACTGCCACAGCTCGGGAAGTCCTTCCAGGAGCTGTCAGGGAAGGAGCTGTGTGCCATGTCGGAGGAGCAGTTCTGCCAACGCTCGCCCGTCTGCGGCGATGTCCTCCATGCACACCTCGACATCTGGAAGTCGGGTACGTGCGGGGCCGGGGGGAGCGCAGAGCTGCAGGCTGGGCTCCCTCTGACCGCCCACTCCCCAATTTCCAGCTGCGTGGATGAAGGAAAAAGCTGCCCCGGGGGATGTGAGATACTGCGGTGAGTTCTGCGTGGCTTTGCTGGGGTTCTGACCCTCGTTTCAGCCCCAGATGCAAGCATGGGGTATGGGTGGGCTTCACGCATCCCTATGGGGCAGCTGAGGGTTGGACCCCGCTGTTCTCCCTGCTGCCTCCGGCCCCAGCCCCACGGCTCATCCCCCATCCCACCCCACGCCTCCCTGTGCAGGGGGTGACAGCGGATGGGCGGACAGCGAGGTGGACTCATCCTGCGCCGGGCAGCCCATCCACCTCTGGCAGTTCCTGAAGGAGCTGCTGCTGAAACCCCACAATTACGGACGCTTCATCCGTTGGCTCAACAAGGAGAAAGGTGGGTGGGCACTCCTGGGGTCAGGGGAAGGGTCCGCGGGGGGGTCACCCCAAAATTCCCATCCCCGCTCCCCCCACATAGGGATCTTCAAGATCGAGGACTCGGCGCAGGTGGCCCGTCTGTGGGGCATCCGGAAGAACCGCCCAGCCATGAACTACGACAAACTGAGCCGCTCCATCCGGCAGTACTACAAAAAGGGCATCATCCGCAAACCCGACATCTCGCAGCGCCTCGTCTACCAGTTTGTGCACCCGCTCTGAGGGACTGAGCCTCGGGGGCGGGGGGGACTCTCACTGCCCTCCCCGACCTCATCATCGTCTTCCAGCGCTTTAGGACCGTGGTTGGGGTCATCCCTGTGGACCATAAGGACCCTTCTGTCCCCAGAGCCCGTACTTGGAGTGGGGATGAGCCCAGAGAGCATTGCTTTGTGCCCAGCTCCAGGGCCAGGACAATGCATGGAGTGGATTTAGGGGCTGGAAGCAGCAAAGAGGGATACGGAGATGACAGGCAATGTGTTGAGGGCTGAGGGGGGGCTGCCTGCAGTCTTGGGATCGATGGTGAGAGCGTGCTCGGGGTCACTGGGGCTGCAGCTGGGGACCTGCTGTCCCCATACACTGCCTTCCTTTCTCTGCAGCTCTGGGCATCATCAGGACATGCCCCCCCATAGGAAACCCCAATAACTCTATGGCATCACCTGCCCCAGCACAGGGAGCACTGGGACTGTGCTCCATCCAGCCACACCCTGCCCTTGTGCCACCGCTGGGCTGGGATTTGGAGTCGTTCCCCTTTCTTGCCAGCAAACCCTTGAGCTGCAACAGAGCTGCTCTGGATGAACCCCCAGAACAGCTCTTGGATGTTGGGGATGGGGCCATCCAAATATGGGGTGCAGTGGTGGGAATCCACTCCATCCCTTCCTCCTGGGCACGGGATGGGGATGGGAGGGGGGACTAAACCTGGGCTCATGGCACAAACGAGGACAATGACCCTGGCTTTGGGTTGGGCACTGTGGGGCCAGGCGTGTTGGCTTCACCCTATGGGGTGAGCATAAGGGATGGGGAAGTGGGAGGGAGCTTGGGCTGCCCCCAGCCACCCACCCCCATCTGCTATGGGTTCACACCACACAGAGCCACGAGGCCCCGGGATGGATGCATCCCCCATCCCCCTGCAGATATGGGGGGTTCCACCTCAAATCCCACCTCGTGGCTGAGGCTGTGTGCTTTGCACGAGGAGTGACTGCACAACATGGGACCTCAGCTCCCTCAGCCCCCATTGAGCCAAACCCCCAGCCCTGGGCATGGGGACCCCCGGAATCCCCCAGCCCTCATCCTCAGCACAGTGCTCTCTGCTGGGTTTGGGATTCACCTTCGCCTGCCCTGTTCCTTAAGGAAGGAGACGGAGCTCTGCCATTCCCCTCTGGACACGGAACTGGGGATGGTGGGAACTGCACGTTTCACAAAGCTCTGAGCTACCTGGCAATGTCCACCTTGTATATTACAATCGTTATTTGTTTGGTTTTCTTCATGGTTTTGCCTGGCGGTGAGTTGTGCTTTAGGTTCAGGTGGAGAGGGCAGAAGGGAGCCCTGGATCCCTGTGAAAAAAAATAATTCATGCTCATGCTTCTGCCTGTACCTCCATTGAACTGCCCTTGTCCTGCTGCTGCTCTCCATGGGCACAGGAGCAGCACTGCAGGGTCAGCCCCAAACCCTGCTGCATACATAATGGAAAATCACTTTTCTCCCCCCTTTCTCCCTTCCTCCACCCCCTCTGCTCACAGCTGCTGCTGCTTGGAACAGGGGCTGGTGACCCACATGTTGCACCTCCCGTGGCTTTGGGGTTTGCAGGAAGGCTCTGCACGCCGTGCCAGAACCTCAGGGCTTTCCCACCTCCCACTTTCCCCAGCACAGCTCAGGGTCCCATTGCCTTCACTGGGAATGCTCTCCATCTGGTTTATCTCAGATCCCCTTGGGGGCTTTGCAAGGCTTTACCCCATGGCTTGGCCCATCCCACAGGGTGTGCTCCCCTTCCCACAGCCCCCAGAACGACCCACAGCTCCCTGTGCCATTTCCCAGCTGACCCCAAAGGCAGTGAGCCCCATTCCTGCAGCACCCACTGCCTCATCCTGACACTGCAGAGGGCACTGGGGTTGGGGGGACGTGGGGATTTTGGCACTCACCCCACAGCGGGGTCCATAACCCCAAAGGCAGAGTCAGACCTGCACACACAACCCCAACCCCAAACCCGGAGGATGCGCACAGAGGTCGGTTATTTTCGCTTGCTGCTTTAGTTGTTGTATCCACGGTCATTACAATCACAATATATATATATTATATATATACTTCTTAAATTACACAATCAATGTACAAAAACCGGGGTGCATTGCTGAGAAGGGCGGTCGGGGTTTTTTATCTGACTTTTTGTGTGGGTTTGTTGTTTTGTTTTGTTTTTTTTCCCATTCATGTGCTGGGCAGGAGGGGCACAGTGCCCACGTGCTGCCCTCGGAGGAGCGCTGCGTCCCTGGAGCCAAACAATTCGCAAAGCCAAAGGAGGGTGGGAGGGTGTGGGAAAGAAAGAAATGGTGATGAGCTCTAGGGAAGTGCATGGGGCAGTGAGGAGGGGTGGCTGTGGGGGTTATGCAGGAGCACCCATGGGTGCTGGGGGGCTGTGCTCTGTGCAGAGTGCAGGTGAAGGAATGGAGCGAGCGCGGCTGCAGTTTCTCTCCCCCTGCAGGACCTCTGGAAAGGGTCAGAGGAGACCATCCCAGCAGCACCCAGGGGGTCCCCACTCTCTTCCAGTTTGGCTGCGTGGGGCTGTGGTGGGGTCCTTGGCCAAGAAGCAACATTTTGGGATGTGCTTCGCTCTCACAAAGTGCTGCTCCCTGCAGAGCACCCAGGGCACAGCTCTGGGCGGAGAGGAGGAGGAGGAAGATGGAGAGGTGCCACCACGCTCCGTGGTGGGGCTGCTTTTCTTCCCTCCCATGGGGACAGGTGGCTGCGGGGCAGGAGGGGACGTCTGTGCCCTTCTTTTGGGATGGAGGAGGAATCGGAGCAGAGAACATGAAAACATTATAAAATAAAAGGTGCAAAACCCCATTGCCTCTCTTTTTCTTTTCAGAGAGGGGCGAATTCGGTTGGTCCCAGGAGATCAGCGCCGTGCGTTTCGGAACAGTTCCAGCCAATCAGAAGGCGGCTCATGAGTTCAGTATCTTTAAAAACCAACCAAGGAGGAGCTGTCGCTGGTTGGGCTTTAAGATCTTGAGGTATCGGATTTTCGCTGGGAAAAATCAGCTAGCGCGGAACGGACGGCGTCGTCTTTCGCTTCACATTATCTTAGAAGAAGAAAAAAGCGACTATGCAAAATACTCTTCAGAGACAACTCTTAAAAAAATAAAAGCTCGGTCGGAAAATATGTCTGAATCTCTAAGGGGGAGGAGTGACGGAGCAGACGGAGCGATGGCGGTGGGCTGGTGGAGAATGGAGACAACGGAGGGCGGGTTGATCTGCAGACGGCGACGAGGAGCACAGCACAAGACTTAGATTGCCTCCACGTAGTTGGCAGGGTACAGCCCCAGCTGCCCGTTGTCCAAGCGCCCTTTGCACCATCCCTGCTCGTCTTCTTCACCCAGCTTGGTTAGCTCGTCCCCTGGAGGAGAAGGGAGGAAGGGAGAGCTTGCTGTTGGAGCATCCTCTGGGGTGTGGGGTTCATGCTGAGTGAGGTTTGTGGGGCAGGAATACAAAGAGTGTCCCGTGATTCCTCCTGTGCCCCATCCCTCCCAGCCCACCCAGTGTCGCGCCTTCCCCTCTCAGTGTGACGGGCTGAAGGTTGGACTTGGTGAACTTGGAAGGCTCTTCCAACCTTAATGATTCTCTCTGCCAATGAGCTGGGATAACTCTAACACGATTTAGTGGATTTTCCACCCAAAAGGGGAGTCACGCATGGGACATCCCATCACCTGCTTTGAAGCTGAGCTCGTCCTGCTCTTGCCCATCGTAGTCGTACAGTGCCCGCACCCGCACGCCTTTCCCTGCTGAGTCCTCATCAAAGGGGTTGGTTCCACCATTGGCCTCGCTGGCATTGAAGGAGTTGCTGCCCTCATCGTCGGACCACTCGGCGCTGTAGGTCTGCCCGCGGTCGTGGCTGCTGACGCTGGGGTGAGAGGGAGAGGAGATTTGGGATGGGCGGGCACCCCGATCCGGGGGGCTTCCCAAGCTGCAGCAAGCAGTTCTCCAGCTAACAGCACTGCCCATCCGCCCCCAGAGTGACAGCAGGAGTGTTTGCACAGGCAAATCCCATGCGTTCCCCAGTGCTAGCAGTGGGCTGCGGCTCCCCGATGGCACTCACCTCCCGCGCTCTCCTGCTGATGCCCCGCTCTCTCCCGTGCTGCTGGCATTGGTCAGAGTCACCCCTTCACCCTTCTTCATCTTCTCCTTGCGCGTTATCGTATGCGTCAGGTCTGGGTTCCACTCCTGGAGGCACAAAGCATGAGGCTCTCAGCACTCAGCCATTGGGACGTGGGTCCCAATCCCGGGGGGGGAGGGGGGTGAGCCTCACCTCAAACTGGGGCCAGTTCATGGGCATGCCAGGGCCACTGGTGCTGCGGAACCACCGGAGATCCTCCTGAGCATCTGAGAGGCGGATGGTCTGCTCCAGCTCCCGGTAGACGTTGGCGTAGCTGTGGGAAGAGGTGAAGGTCGGGGTGCCATGGGGATGGATCCACAGGATGGGGGTGGGATGGTGGGATGGGGAGGTTCAGGTTGGATGTTAGGAGACTTTTTTTTTTGCGGAAAGAGTGGTGATGCAGTGGCTCAGCTGCCCTGGAAGCGGCGGAGTCACCAGGGATGGACCGTGGAGATGCGGCACTGAAGGACACGTTTAGAAGGCATAATGGGGGTAGGTTGGGGTTGGACTTGGTGATCTTGGTTGTTTCTTCCAGCCTGAACGATTCTATTCTATGATGCCTATTTTGTGCCACCCCCAGGAGGCACTGGGGAACACCACTCTGGTACCACTGAGTGACCACTATGTTGATCAGAGAGCCCATTCCATTGTCCTGCAGGGGATGGGAAGCACCTGGTCCCTTCAGGACAGCACAAGGAGACCTCACATGGATGATTTCTGCCCAGACAGCAGGGAGAGCACCTACCTGCTGCTCTCAGCCAGGTTCAGGTGCCTCTTGATATCCAGGAGCACCTCCTTGAGGAAGTTGAGCCTCTTCTCCTCAAACTGCTGGCACTGCTCAAAGACCTGCTCCATGCTCTCCATGTACTGTGGGGTGCACTTGTTCAGCTCATCCAGAACCTTCTCGTACTTCTCCTGAGTCTGCAGGGTACATGAGGTGCCTGGTTACATCTTGAGACCCCCAGCCCCCTCCCCACAGAGCCAGGCTGACCCATGGGTCTCCATGCTGGGGAGCCCTTCTTGAGCTAAGAGCCTCCACAGGGAAAAATGAGGATACAGAAGAGATCTTGCCCCAGTGGGAGGGTAAAATCTCTGCTCTGCTCACACTCACTACTGCCTGTAACCTTCTTGTACACACAACCAGAGACAGGGAAATGGGAATAAATGGGGATGGTGAAGTGGTGGTGTCCATTTCCACTGCCCTGTGCTGCATGAGCCTGCAGTAGGGGCAGCAGTGGAGCTGCACCATAGTGCTGATGGCTCGCACCTTTTGCACATCCTGCTTGCACTTTTCCACTTTGTCCTGGAGCTTCTTCTGCTGCTCGGGGGTGTTGGACTGGTCTGCTTTGCTGTTGGCTTCCCGGGTCATTGCCAGCTTCTCCTCCTTGCAGGCCAGGTGGTAGGCTTTCTTGGCTGTCTCCAGCTATGGGGAGAAGAGGATGGACATGGGATTAACAAGGACACCATAGCTCCTACCCTGCCCCTCTGCCTGCAGAAATGTGATATCCAGCTTGGACCTAGAGCTGGGACTGGGACAAGGCATGGCCATGCTGTGGTTCTCCTCTCACCTCCTTGAGCTTCTTGGCCCAGGGCTTCTGCGCTTTCCGGAAGCCATCCTCAGCCTCCTTGGCCTCCTTGAAGCCCCCCATGATCTGCTTGTGGTAGGCGTCCTTCTGCCAGTTCTTCACCTTCTCAAAGTCATCATTCAGCAGGCTGTTCTTCACGTCCTGGTGCAGCTCGCTCACCTTGTCTGCCTCCGTCATGATGGCACCCCACGCCCTCTCCAGGCTGCCATACTGGGGGCCTGGGGATGTAGGGGATGGGTGAGCACCCCCATGCAGCTCGGACCCCCCGCATGGCATCCAGGTGTCCCAATACCTTTCTCAATGAGCTGCCTCCACCTCTTGGACCAGTCAGTGAGCTGCTGGGCGTAGGACTTCTCAATCTTGGCCCTCTCGTGCACACAGTTCATGAGGTCATTGCAGAGCCGGTGTCCATCATCAATCCGCTTCACCGTGCGCTTGTAGTTCCCCACCTGGGTTGGGGACAGCGATGGGGATGGGAGCAGAGATGGGGATGGGGACAGGGATGGAGATGTGGATAGGGACAGGGGTAGACTGGGATAGATCCATGACCATGGATGCCATGGTGGGATGCACGGATGGAACTTTTGCTCTGGGTCTTAAGGCCACCTCCTTTTGGCCCGCTCTGACTGTAAGTGCTGGTAGGGCAGGACCTCCTGCAGCCCCACTGGGACCCCCCCCAGCCACCGCAGCAGGGACCCCAGCTCTGGGCTGGCTTCAGAAGGTAAGGGTGCAGTGCTGGGCGGTGACAGCAAACCGGGACACCGCAGGGACAGGGTTTGGCAAAGGCTCACCTCCCAGAAGCTGTCGGTCGTCTCCTCGGCGGCTGCTGCCGACTCGTCGTAGGAACCCGACATGGCTCCTGGCACGGCCTCGGCCGTCAGTGCGGGCGCTCAGGGGCTCTCGGGCAAGCAGCAGCCTCATGCACTGGGGAGAGCAGAGGGGTCAGGGTGGGCTGCAGGGACCCCATTCCCATCGGAATTCCCATCTTCATCATCTCCATCCCCATCTCCTGCAGTGCTGCAGGGTGAGCATCCAGCTGCAGGGGATGGGGATGGGGACAGTGCCCTTTCTGTCTCCCTTCCTATGCCCCCAATATCTCCCCCTAAGGTGCCATCCAAAATCCAAACCCTCTGCAGGCAGCCAAGCCCTGCTCGAGCCCCAGGATTTCTTATGCAATGTCTGGTCAGGCAGAGCTGCCGCAGAGCCACCAAAACCCTAAAGCTGCTCTGCTGGGGTGGAGAAACGTGGGGAGAAACGCAGGGAGCAACACGGGGAGCCCTTACCCAGGGGGGGCCCTGGCCCAGCAGCTGTGCATCCTCAGGGCGCCGCAGAGTGGGGGGAGCACAGCCCGGAGAAATTCTCGTCCTGATATTCCAGCCTAATCCGTCCTGATCTACAGAAAAACGGCATCCCCGGAGCGTCACGTGGGGGCTGCTGCATGGCTTAACCCTTCGCTGCTCTGCACGGAGCTGCATGTGGGGCTGGGGGATGTGGGGATGGGACTGATGGATGAGGATCACATGGGGACCTGAGGATGGGCTTGGTGGATGGGCATTTCACAGGGATGGTGAGGGGACCGAGAACATCACGGTGACAGTGGGACACTGCTCCCCATGGCATGTGCTGGGCTTGCCCTGCATGGCATCTGCCACCAGCATGGGGACAACACAGCCACAAACCACACAGAAGTGCTGGGGTGGGGGAATACAGCTGTGATCCCCACGCACCATCGCAGCCAGGGAGGTTGGAGATGCAACAGGAGACCCAGACACCTGGGCCACATCCCACACCTGGAATAGGGCGATGGCATGGGGTGCACCCATGGGATGCAGGGTGTGGGTTTCCCTCTTGCTCCATCTGTGTGCACATCAGGCCCCATTGGGATGGAGCATGGAGGAATGAGTGCTGAAACGGTTACTGGTGCACCACGGCCAGGCTCGCTGTGCTGGAACTAACAGGGCCTCGCAGGGATTTAGTGATATAACCAAGAAACCCACCAATCCCTGCCCGTCCTCCCCAGCCAGTTAAAAATAAACGCGTGACTGTCCCTTGCTCCGCCGCAGAGACGCAGATGGATGGGGAGCGCGGCGGTGTGGAGCGCAGCCAGCACTGTCCCCGTGCAGCCCATGGCGTGCAGCACCCACCCACGTGCATGGGGCACCTACATCACAGCCCCCACCTCCCTGCACACCCACAGCGTGCCCCGAGGTGTTGGGATTTGTTCACACCCTGACTTTGGCTCTGAGTTTCATCACGGATGCAGCGCAAAGGCAGCCTCAGGGGAACAGCCCAAGGCAGTGCTGGGGATGCTGGGGAGGGTCCTATGAGACCCACGGGCACGGAGACCCCCAGGCCATGGGGTGCTGCAAAGCTGCAGCTCAGCGTTCGGTGCTGTTATTTGGGTTTGAGCTGCAGCTCTGGGGGTTATTTTTGGCTCTGCATCGCTTTCCAGCAAACGCTGCTGCCTTGTTGTTGCTCTCCTGCCCGGCACCCAGACATACAAACATGCATGCAGGCAGACATGCGTGCACGTGTGCTTGTGCCCTCTGTGCAGCCAGACCTGTGTTCGATGCCCACCACCCAGGGCAGCAGCACAGCCCCCACCATCCCCTCTGCTGCAGCCCATCGCTTTGCATTGAGGCGGCTGGCAGTGATGCCCGGTGGCTGAGCACGGTGTGGGCGAGCTGCCAGCCCCAGCTGGGTGCTGTCACTCAGGAACCCTGAGCAGAGGGGCTCAGCTTCACTGCCCTGAACCACCCCAAAGCCACCAGAGGGTTTTGCAAGCTGCAGCAGTAAAGTTTGTCTGAGCTCATGCCCCTGCAGACGCTGGCGTGTCCTTGGGTTGCTCCTGCAGCCTCAGGTCCCCCTGCACCTCTCCATCCTCCCCAGCAGACTGCTCAGTGCAGAGCTCATCTCTTGAGACACAGCTCCTGCTGCTACAGTGGATCCCTGTCCCTGTGCAGGTACTGGGGGCCGGGATGCAGGCGCTGACCCCATGCAGGCAGGAGGTGCTGCAATGCAGAGGGCTGGCACTGCTGATGCTGTGGGCACAGGAGCTGGGAACCCCCACAGCTGCACAAGCGGGTGCTGCTTGAACAAGGCTGCACCCCCCATGCTGGAAATGGGGACTCAGTGGGTGGCATCACACAATCACATTCACCATTAGTGGGTTTGCTACAGCCACTGAGCAGAGCAGCAGATGGGGATGCACTTTGCATTTGCTGCAGCATCACCTCTGAGCCTGCAGGCCATGGAGCGGTGCCCCGAGTTGCGCAGCAGGTTGGGGTGCAGTGGCAGCTGTCTGCATGTGTCCCCATCCTGCTACCTGCACGTGGGACCAGGAGGGGCTGCAAAACTTCCCAGTCTAGGTATTTTTTTGCTGCAGAGAGCCCTTTGCCACAGCAGGACTGCAGCAGATGCACTGCAAGGAGGGGAGCAGAGCGTGGATGGAACTCATGTCCCTGTCCCCATCCTTCCCCAAGGTTTGGGTTTGTGACAAAGCAGGAGACAGATCTGAGCCCTGCTGTGGGGCTGAGAGTGATGCCATGCCAGGATTAGTCTTGGTGCCAAACCCTCCTGCAAAGCATCCCAGCCCCAATGCAGCTCTAGCCCCTCAGTGCTGCGTGAGGACCTCATCTGCAGGAGCACGTGAGCAGGGCAGGATGCAATCTGCTGCGTGCTGTTCTCTTGGTGGCTCCCAGCAGGGCCATCAGTACAGCAGAGAGTCCTGGCAATTCAAAAGGAGCCAACTGTCTGAGCTGGTTATATTGCAATTAAATGCAGAGTCCTGGCTTGATAAAAAACACCTTCCGAGGAGCTGTAATGTGAAATAGGTGCTGCAGTTTGGTTTCCTTCTGCAAGCACATGAGGCCGAGGGTGCATATAGGGCTGTACTATGAGGGATTCAGGCTGCATTTCAGCAGCCCCAGTTTGCGTGCTTGGCTGCAGGAAGCTGATTTCCTCACCTCTATTGCTGCTAATTGCAGATGATGGGTGCAGCACCGGTTGCCCCGATGCCACCGTGATGCAATGCCACGTGAAAACCAAGCTGAAGACAAATGGACTCAGAACAGCAGTGCCAAGAGCAGGGTCCAACCTCATGCACACCCACTGCACCAAGGAGCAGTATCCCAGCACGGGTATGAGCACCTCGTGCTGCTCCTGCCATGGCAAAGCACAGTGGATGAGACACCCCAGCACAACGGCAGCAAAGCCAGCATGTTCTCCAAGATGCTTTACTGGAAGGGAAATGCTGCTGGCTGCCCTCCCCGTGCCCCAGAACCAGAACTGGGGCTCTCTGCATGCTCATGGTACAGGGAATGAGATGCAGTTTCCTCGCCCACAGAGGAGCAGCAATCCCCATGGGATATAGGAAATGGGATGGAGTGGGAAGTAGTGAGGTGGGGGCTGCACTTCGGGGAGTGGTGACGGTGTGATAATGGTGACAGTGGCCTGGGGAGATGTGGGCACCTGGCTGGGTGCCTGGGGTCTCTCCCCTCAACCCCAAGCATCCCTATGGGGCTGGCTTGGAGAGTTCTGGGCAGTGGGTGCTGCTGATTCCCACTGGCAGCTGGAGCTGAGCAGAGCCCCAGGCTCAGGGCTGAGCAGCATGGGGAGGCGTGAGCGATCCAGGGAAGGCCTGGCTGTGTGTCCACCCCACCAATTATCAAATTGAGTTAAAGCCTGAAGGGAGGTAAGCCTGGGTTTTCCCAAGCCGTGGGCTCAGATTGGGAACAGCTCATTGCAGGGTTGTGTCCTGCTTCCCCCAGCAAAACCACTGTAGCTGGGATGGGAGCCCTGAGGCAAACGGCCCAAGCCTGCCCAGGTGTGGGGCTCAGAGGGACCTCGTACACAAGGTGCTTCTCTGTGGGGTTTCAGACATGGCAGTGCTGTGGGGCTGGCTTGGGGATAATGCACACAGCACATCCTTGGGGCGATGCATGGGTAACGATGGGAAATTTCTGAGAGCTGCTCTTCCACCGAGCCCTGTGCAGGATGTGCCTGTGGCAGTGCCTTGTCCCAGTCCTGGGGGAGCAGGAATAGGTTGGGGGTCCAGTGAGCAGATCTGCAGCTTCTTCCAAACTGGAGCATTTGCAAAGGAGGTTCATTGGTCCCAGGGATGCTACAAGAGCTCCATGTCCCATATGATGGCAGCAGGGTGCCCATCTGGCTGGGATGGGGCTGCGTGCTGCCAGTGCTGCCACATTGCAGTACCAGGACGACGCTTTTTGCTCCAAGACCTGGCAGCAATCAGCTTGACATTTTGTGTGCTCTGCAGAAATATTCCTCCTTCTCTCCCCAGCATTATCTCCCTCAGCACGCAGGACACCCATCAAAGTCTTCTAAGGGATTTTACAAGCCTTGCTCAGATTTCTGGAAGTATGCATGGCATTTGCAGATAACACAAGCGTTTCTCTCCGGGGGAGCTTGCAGCCAGCACAGGTACAGCGGATGTGCCAGGAATGTAGATAGACACCAGCAGGGTGCAGAGATCTGGAGCAGGATTGTCAGCCCCATAATGTGCTCAGGCCTGGGGAAGGGAAACTGCTCTGAACCTCAGCTGCTGGGGTTCCAATTCTCCTTGCAGCTCTGCAGCTCTTCTCAGTCTTCCTTCTTAGCTCGTTGCTGTAAACAAGGATGCTCTGACTCTTGAGTAGGGATTTTTGCAGTCCCAGGAGTGGGGTTTAGACGGAAATCCAAATATGTGTTTTGTAATTAAGCCAAGAAGTGCTGGAGGATGTGGGGGTGCTTCCATATTGGGAAGGGGGGAGGCAGAGCACTGTGTGCTTGGGGGGGGGGGCATCCTCTGCCCCTCGGTGAGCCCAGGGCTGGCAGTGACATGAGGGGAATGGGG